TTTTTTGTGGTTTCGTTTCTGGTCAAAAGCATGTTATGATGTTCAGAGAAGTGTCCAGGCCTGGATGATTCTGCTGCTAAATTAAAAAAGGGTCTGCTGCCCAGTTCTGGGGCGTTTTCTCTCATGCAGTGGATCAGCCTTTCTTCAGCAATGGGGACTTAAGGTGAGGTGAGGCAATGGTGGTGTCCTCTGGCTGCATTGCACTGATATCTGTTGTCACACACATCTCTGTTGTGTTGCAGTACAGTAACATGGTAAAGTCCATGCAGAGAGCCCTGTGCCTGTGATTGCCCCAGAGATAGCAATATTTTGCAAGTCCGTATGTTTAGGAGCTGCTTTCCTAAAGCTGAACCAAAGATCTCAGCAGGTCTGTGACTGGGTGAGGTTTGCCCTCAACACCGGAGGAGCTGCTTCAACACATGGGTGCAGAGTGTTGCTTCCCATGAGCCCATGCTGCCCAGCCATAACATGCCTAGAAATTGTGCAGCTTTTCAGCTGGCTACGGCGCTGGTGATGTGCGGGGAACTGGAGACTCCGTGGTGCGGCTGGGGTGGCTCTGGAGCTCCTTGGGGCAAGCTGGTCTGAAGGCATTGGAGGGGAGCAGTGTGTAATGCAACCTGTGCCCTGCCTTATTAAATAAGCCTAGAAAAAAGAAAGGCAACTCCCAAGGGTGTTTGCAGGGCCTGGTGCAATCTTCCTTCCTTTAATCTGCCTGCTTACAAGACCCAGGTGGCAACTCTATTGAAGATTTGCTCCTTGATGGCTCCTTCTGCCAGGTAGGAGCTGTTGCAGGGACCTGCCTGGGAGTCAGGAGGCTGCAGAGCAAATAGCTGGTGTTCAAAAGAGCAAACACGGCAATAACACTGGGAACCTGGCAACTGTTTGGTGGGGAATGACCTCAGACCTTCAGGTATGGAGTAACACCCCCATTTTGGGGACCCGAATAGTGAGTTGGGAAGAGTGAGTGTTGAGAGGGCAGGATTGATGGCAGGGAGGAGTACAGGAAGGAAAATGTAAGCGGAGGATCGTGGAAGAGTTAACATTTGTCTGAGACTCCCTGCACTCTCCCGGGAGGGTGAGCGTCCAGTCCTGCCTTGCCTTTCACTCTGCACTGCCAGCTGCTATTAATACTTCAGCACATGAGTGCTAAAGCGTGAGCAGAAAGCCTGGGGAGGATATGCAAGGGATTTCCGGCAGTTTGAGGCTTTCAGGCGGGGAGGTTGAGAGCCAGCCTGGAGGAGAGCCCTAACAGGGGCTCTCCTTAAAGATACATCCCTCCGCAGGAGGGGACGGGACAGAGGGATGCTCCTGTAGGCATCGTCTGAAGGGGCTGCGTGGGCTTGGGGCAGGAGGGGAGATGCCCTGCTGCTGTTTTAGCAATCCCCCGCTGCAACTACCATACATGCTTCTGGGTGGTGGTGATGAACCCTGTGTCCTGGGCATGGCTTTGGCTTGGGAAAAGTAATAACTTAGGAGGATCTGTGTTTCCTTGTGCTGAACAAATAAAGGTTTTCATTAGAAGTAATCAGGTAGGAACAAAATAGTGCTTGGCAGCAGCTGTGGAGCAGCCAGGAACTGTGGTCTGGGGCAGGGCAGCTCCATGCCTGCCCAGCTGGGAGGGCGGGATGGAGGAGCAGGGAGGCAAAGAAAAAAATAACTGGCAAAGAGCAGAGCAGCAGCATTCAAAGAAGTGCCTTCCTTGGAAAGAGGGGGCATCTCCTTGGTTTGTTTGGGGTTTTATTCAAGTGAAAAAGGAGAATTTTAGCCAGCACTTTCTTCTTGCCCATCCTCAAGGCTCATATAAATATAAATGAAAGGTTCTTGGAGCAAACAGCGGAGGCTCAGATACTGTCATCTGCTGGCTGGGTCCAGCCTGGGGGTAAATGGCATAGAGGGAATATGATGGAGAAACACTCAACTGCACTGTTTGAGTTTGGACCTGTATTTCCTCATGTGAAAATGCTTCACTGAACATAACTTGATTTAGGTGTGCTCTGCTCCATCATGCTGTCTTCCCCCTCTCTATGTTCCTCCCAGCTCGCTAGTGTTGCAGATAGCTGAGCTTGTGAAAGAACCAGTTGAATCCCCATTTTTCCTGCGTCTCCAGGCCCTGGAGGTCTTTGGCTGCTCTGGCTGCTTCCCGGCACCTTTGTCAATGCAGTTTGAACCTCTGATCCCTGCACAGACTTGCAGTGTTCAATCCTTTTCAGCTCACTCAGCAGCAGGGCTGGGGTTATAAGGTGATACCTGGCTGGTTTGCTAAAAGGATGGTAGAAGTGGCTGGCTGTGACTATGGGAACCAGGTAGAAAAGAAAATAACTCTTCTGTTAGATGAAATGCCCCAGGAACCTAATTGCAATATAAACCTAGAGAGGCAGATGGGGAATCGCAAATAGGATGTGCCTGAATACCTGCAGGTGTCTGTGCCATGGTGGCTGCTGCCACGGCCGGTGACAGTGTCAACAGTCTTAAAGTCCCTCCTGGCTACCCACCGATGTCCTGGGCTCTGTGACATGTCCACGGTGAGCTTGTGCTGTCTTCGCAGCACCTTCCCTGCTTATCTCCGTTTGCGCACAAGCAGTTTATTGCCTAGCAGAGAGCTTGGGTGTTGCTGGGCTAGCCTAGGAAAGGTGTGAGAGAGAGAAAATTCATGCCAAGCCTGGAGCAGGGCTTGGTTTACTTTCTTTCTTGTGATTTCCTTCCTAGCTTTCTCTGCACCTGGCAGTGCTTCCTGCTGGCTGACACCCGCGCTAATGTTTAAATCTGCGAGGTGGGGTAAGGGAAAGTCTGTGCACCCCTGTGCCAGCCTCGGCAAGCGCAGGCAGAGCAAGGCTCCTGCTTTGTTACAGCTTCTTGTTTGCAAATGGAAATTGGATTTATCGTTATGGAAGACAGCAGTGGTTTCCTAAAAGATGCTCCTGCCTCTTCCCTCTCCATGTGGCTTTGCCAAAAGACAACCTGGGGGGGCCTTGAACGCCAAGAAGGCAGCCCCAGCCAGGGCATAGTCTTCTCTGTCCCCTTCCCAACCCCCAGATACATTTGACTTCCCCCCCAAACCTTTAACAGTAGTATTGGAAAATGCAATATATATTCTCTTTCTCTGTATAGGCTTGTACAATGCACAGACCACCAAGTACTCATTTAAACAAGCATGCGGCAAGCTTCTTAAAAACCAAGAAGGGTAGGGGATCCCCAGCCCTGTAGCATGCAGGTCACTGGCACTGTGCCCCTGAAGGGAGCAGACCCTGTGGTCACAGTGTGGCCAAGCACCCACCTCTCAAACGCAGACACCCCAGTGCCACTGCTGCCCACCACGGTGGCAGGAGTGCTTCAAAGGGAGACACAGGACTGTACCCTTAAAGCAAAGTCATTAAAATTTTCTTGAGGACTTGGCGTTTGAGTGAGAGCATCTACCTGGAGGTGTTATAAATTTAAAGTTCAGCTGCATTAATCAGGGTTTGGATTCGCTTCCCTGAGTGCCTCGTGGTGATCTGCCCTTGTGAGAAATGATGCCTTTGCTTTGTCCCTCCCGATCACCTGGGTCTCGATGGGTTAAAGTCTTCAAACATGTGTTCTGGCCCCATCCCTTCTTCCTTTCCATTCACCTTCTTCCTTTCTTAATACTTCCCCTGAGCTTTTCCCTTCCTCTCCAGTGTAAGGAGCTTGGCAATAAAGGCTGCTTGGTGGAGGCAGTGGACTGGGGTTTGTGCTGCATGGGGCTCTGCAGCTCTGTGTTCGCTTTGTGTTCGGCACCTTCGAGGTCTGGGGCAGGAAACGTGGTTTTGGTCTGTGCCTGGGAAAACTTTGCTTATTGTCCCCTCTCTAATGCCTTAGGCACCGACAGCAGGAACATGCAAAGTTTTAATAGCAAATAGAGAAAGAACAGGAATTTGGGAAGGAATCTAAACTTCCCTGCCCAGGGAATAACCCACTGGGGATTAGAGAGAAACTTCTCTAATGAATGGACGGTCCTGGGGCTGCCTCCCACCAGCTCTCTGCCATCTCTCAGCATGTTTGCTGGGGTTTTTTCACATTGAAAAGCAATGCAAGGTGGGTCCAGGCTGTCTAAAGTTCCCAGCAATGCCTGGAGTCTTTCCTTGGATGTTTATTCATCCAGCCAGGAAACAATTTGTCCTTCTGTCCCATGTGGCAGAAGTGCCAGGCTCTGTCACAGCTACCACACCTATGATTTTTCCATGTGAACTGTGAGAATTTGGGGGCAAAAAGTGTCACACGTGTTGTGCTGAGCACACGCACGTCCTGCCAGCACGCCTGGCCCTGTGTAGCAGCCGTGCCATCCCTGCTGGCATCTGCCATCCCAGCCTCCATGCTGTGGGAGGAAGGGCTCATTTGCTGGCTTTGGGGACAGTGGCTGTGCCCTTGCATCTGGTGGGGTGACTCGGGCTCCGTGCTATCCATAGGAATTGGCAGCGGATGGCACGGGAGGGTCTCGCAGGGCAGTGTGGGTGGCAGGCAGCCGGGGCACTGTCTCAGTGGAGGTGCTAACGCGGCGGCGTCCCTGCTGCCTGCTCTGGCCGACAGCCAAGTGGAAGTTTCCGAGCGGGCCAGCCCATCGCCGCAGACGCGCATCCCTCCATCCCGGCTGGGGAGAGGAGGATCTGGCAACAGGCTCCGCAGGGCTGCTCTGCTCCCTCTGCACCCCCATGCCCTGCCCGGGCATCACCAGGAAGGAAAACTGCTCTCAAATCCCACCTCCTCTCCGCCGTGGGACTGAGGAGAAGACTGAGGACTTCTGCCCGGGGCAGAGACTTTCACTATCGCTTTTGGGCTGGCTGCAGAAATCCTCCCCTTATCGCTGTTTTGCAGAGGGGAGGAAAGCAAAACGGGGGCTTGGTGCCAGGGCTGGCAGCGAAGGTCTCCAGCGGGCTGCACGGGGCGAGTAAACATGTGCGGCGTTTGGGTCCTGCCTGGTAGCAGCAGCAGCAGCCCATGATGCTGTGCTGGGAATGAAGTCAGCCTTCATCAGCTGAATAGTTTATGCATGAATCGAAACTTCAGACCTGGCAGGGTGGGGGAACGCGCAGGATCTGTGAGCTTTTAAAATGCTGGAGCCAAAGAAGGAGGAGGGGATAGAGGAAATATCAGGAAAATAAGACTGGGGAAGCCGGGAGAGATTTGAGAAGCTGGATGAGTTTGCTCTGTTATTGCGAGGAGCCAAGTTCCTTAAGCATCTCCTGGTGGATATTAAGAGGGAGCTGTGGAGGCTGGAGCATTCCCCTGGACACTCGCATGCTGTAGCTTTAAGACTGTTTTACAGAGGACTCGGGATTTTCAGTTTTCCTGTGCCTGGTGGAGTATTTCAGGGAGTTACGGGATTTTTTGGGTCATGCACCCCCTTTTTCTTTTTTCTTCCTCCTTTCTCTTCCTCTCTTACTCTTCATTTTCATTTCAAAGAGACAAAGCTACTTCAGTTTGGAGCACAAACATATGATCAGCACATGGAAATGTGGTAATTTGGATGCATTCATGATTGCAACAGATTGAAGAAATTAGACCAGACAAAGAGCTTTTTTTGGAAGAGGAGGAGGAGGAGGCAAAGCAAGGAGGGAGGGAGAGTGGGGGAAAGAAGGGGACGCCACCGAAAAAAGGGACGGCCGTGACACGCGGATGCTAAATATATCCCGTAGTAATGGAGAGGGACCGGATTTCAGGTAGGCTATTGATCTTTTAATGTGTTATATTCTGCCTCTGCCCTCCTACCTTTCCAGCAGCTTCTGCACTTTAAGAAGAGAAACAGCCACGCTTCGGGTGGATTTCAGCCGATTCCTTTATTTATTTCTTTTTTTGCAACACTTCCTTTCTGCATTTCTTTTTTTTTTTTTTTTCCATCCTCCTGAGCCCTCTAGACAGAAGGTGGTTCCAGCAGAAGCTGGGGAGGGGAGGGAGGCGAGGGGGGAAAAAGAAACTGCTTTCTAGGTCTGGATTTCATTTGAGCCTCTCTCTTCCCCCCCCCGCCCTGCTCCCATGTGCCGCACGGCGCGGGGGGATGAATGCTGAGCCTGTTAGCTCAGAGCTGCGAGCCGGGAAGAGGGAGGAAAATAGCCGAGCTCTTGGCATGGAGACGCGTTTCTGCTCTGAAGGTTGGCTCCTGAGTTTGTGTGTGTGTTGTGGTTGAGCTTTCTCTCCTTGCCAAAGTATCTTCCTCTGGCTTTTGCTCTCCCATCCTGCCTGCCTGGCCGGGCAGGAGCTGCCAGCGTGTCCTGCGGCTGTTCCTTGCACGACACCGGAGCTGGTGGCCGGTGACCCGCTGGCGTGTGCTTCACCTTGCTGGCCACGCATGCGGGCGTTCGGGCAGGGGGAGGATGGCGGGTAGTATGCGGAGGAATTAATAACTCCATTTAATTCCCCAGCTTCCCTGCAAATCCCGCCTAACGGTGCGTGTCTGAGTGGTTCCAAAAGCTCCGTCGGGGAGCGATGTTGCAGGGGGCTGCTCCCGGGATGGCTGCGACCGTGCTCGTTTGCGGGGAGGCAGCATGGTCTCACCCATGAGACTTGCTCTCTGCATGTGTGAGCAGGATGGCCGGGATCAAAGAGGGAAAGCGAGGGAGGGGGTGTCTGTGCCCGAATTGGCAGACCCTGGTGTGCCACAGCCCAGCATGGGTCTCCCTCCTCCCGCTCCATGTGGCATGGCCCAGCTCACCCTCCTCCGGCACGGCAGCTCCAGGGAGGCATGAGGCTTCTTCTCCTAGGCGTTCCCAGCCGGCTGCTGGGCATCGGCGCTGGGAGGGAAACCACAGGGATGAGAGGAAACGCTCAAGCCAGGGTGGAGTGAAACTGTGGCCAGAGAAATCTTCTCCCATGGCTGACCCGTACCAGACCCACAGGGCCCCATCCGGGGATGTGCTGAGAGCACCCGGTGCCCCTGGATGAGGGCTTACCTGCAGGGTCATCCTCCGCTCCCCATTGCCTTTGGCAAGCACAGGGGGCACCTTCTCGTCCCTCTCTCCGTCTCTCTTGCTTTTGCTTTCTCCTCTGGTTTGAGCCACTTCAAAGCATTCCTGAGAGCTGCTCAGAGCCTGGTGGGTGTTTCAGCAGCACAGGGCTTTGGGCTGGATGGCCTCTGCTGCTGTGTGCAGGCCGCCGCTGGGCAGGGACAGTCTGGTCCTGCTGCGGTTTGGCCTTTCGCATCTCCTGTCACATCCTCAGCACAGCGCTGGGTCCCTTCCCTCCCCGCAGAGGCAGTGGGGGGCTTTGCAAAGGGTTGCTGGTGAGGAAGAGGACTGCTTAGTGATGGGATCTGGGGCTCTTTGCTCCGGAAAAGCATCCAAGGTGGGTCTCTCTCAACCTTGAGCTGCACATCACGTCCAGCTGCTGCGAGGAGCACAGAGCCTTTGTGCCTGGACTGGCTGTCACCCGCTCCTGGGGCACGCAGCACCCGGGGACCCCACAGGCAGGCAGACCCCGGGTGAGTGTCTTTGTGCAAAGATGTAAGAGCCCTCACTAACCCCTGGGAGCACGATTGCAAAACGCTGATGTCCGACTGTGTACGTGTTCCACTGATCTCTGCTGGAACCGGCTTTTCTGTGGGTGGTTCAGATGCGGCTGAGCTGCGGGCAGGGAGCAGGCAGCAGGCAACAGGCAGGGCATGCAGGTGGCGTAAGCAAGCACCGTGTGTGCCTTTGCCAAAGGCGGTTGTGCCCAGGGGCTCAGTGTGGAATGCTGAACACCACCCGTTCTACCCTTGCTCAAGCATGAGTGGGTTGTGCACTGTGTGGGACCCCAGAGCCATACCCACCATTTTGGTAGTGTTTCTGATAGGTGGCTCTGACATGAAATAAGGGATGGGGGAACAGATGGGTGGAAAGGATGGTCTTGGGTCTTCTCCACAGCCCCTGGCTTGGAGGGGTCAGCACAGGCATGGAAAGCTGCTTGGCAGGGCAACAACAGAGGGAACGCAAAACCCCTGCGTGGGGGCAGAGGGAAACTCTGCTCAGGGGGATCTGGGGCACAAAGGTGACAATATCACCCGGTCGGGCTGTTGGCTCCCAGGCCCATGGCGCAGTGTGGATTCACAGGGTGAGCCGCTCATCCCTGCCGCTGCGGCTCATGAGTGGGCTGTGCCGGTCACCGTGCCCGGGGGGCTCGCGGGGCTGCGGGCTCCCGCACCGCC